AGACATGGTCAAGGAAATGGGTGATGAGAAGGATAGAGGGGGAATATCTGATTTTGGTGGGTCAGGGAAAACTGAGGAGCAAATACAGGGGTTAGGTATTAGCCATGGAGGAATGTAATGAACGGAAAGTGGGAGAGGTCGGAGGTGAGGAAAGGGGGAATGGGAGAGGAGGGTATCCATGCGTATGGGGAAAGGAGTAGGTAAACGTGGAGAAGAGGTAAAGGCAGGAAGCAAGGATTGTAGAATAATTAGTTTGGTAAGGGAAAGTTGGAGAAATCGAGCATAGCATCTGAGAGAGAGAAGGGCTCGACGTCGAGAGAGGTATGGTATGCCAGACTCAGTATACAGGCTCTCAACTGGAGAGGAGCGGAAGGCGCCTAGGGTGTAGTGGAGACCGCTGTGGTGGATTGTATCAAGGTGAGTAAGAAGGGAGGTTGAGACAGAGGAGTAGATATGGCATCCATAATCTAGAGTGGAGAGAATCAGGTAATATGAAGATGGAGGAGAGTTTTGCGATCTTGAGCCCCAGGGGATGTGTGAGAGAGTTTGTAAGATTCGGAGGGCGTTGAGCTTTTTCTTTTATGTACAAGATATGGTCTCGTCAGGACAATTTGGAGTCAAATATAACGCCTAGGAATTTCGCAAAAGAACGGTATTGGAGTGGAGCGTTATATAAGAAGAGTGGGGGTTTGGGGACCGTACGTAAGCGAGAGAAAGGATGGGGAAAGATTTTTGAGGTAGAGAAGCGAAACCCATGGTTGGTGGCCAAGAAGTTACTGATGTTATTGCAGACTGAAGGAATTGACTGAGATCTGGTATGGATGTGCCAGATATATAGATAGTTGTCATCAACATATAGTGATGCCCGGGCTCCTGGTGGTAGGACTGAGACTGTCATTTACAGCAAGAAGGAATAAAGTGGTACTATGCACACTTTCTTGTGGGACGCCTTCGAACTGAGGAAAGGATGATGACGTGGAAGAGGCAATCTTGACCTGGAAAGTACGTTTAGAAAGGAAGGATTTAATGAAAACGCCCATGTTTCCACGTAAAGCTAGGAATGACAATTGTTGGAGGATATGGTATCGCCATGTGGTATCATATGCTTTTTCTAGATCAAAGAATATGGCTAATACGGATTCATGGCGTGCAAATGCCGATGTAATATATGTCTCGAAATGGGCAAGTGGGTCTGCTGTACTCCGGGCACGGCGGAAACCAAACTGGGAAGGGGAAAGGAGATTATGAGATTCAAGATACCACATAAAGCGGAAGTTAACCATTTGTTCTAGCAGTTTGCACAAGCAGCTAGTTAGAGCTATGGGGCGGTAAACTTGGGGTAGGGTACCTGATTTGTTGGGTTTTAAGAAAGGTAGGATAAGAACATCTCGCCAATGAGAAGGAAAATTTCCTGACGTCCATATGTGGTTGAAAATAGTTAAAAGGAAGGATAGAGAGGAAGATGGGAGGTGTCGGAGCATACTTTAGTGAATACCATCTGGGCCTTCATGAGTGTTGCGGCACGACTGTAATGCAGCGTTGAGTTCAGAAGAAGAAAAAGGAGCATTATAGGACTCATCAGAGGATAGGGTGAAGGTAATAATTAGGGATGCGTTCCTTGATGGCTTTAATGGAAGAAAAGTGTGGAGAAAGGTGAGAGCCACTTCTGACCTGGCTGAAATAGTTGCCCAGTTCATTAGCTACTTCGACAGGCTCGGAGAGATGAGAGTATCGAATATGGAGGACGGGTGCAGGATGGGGGGATGGTTGCCTGATAATTTATGGATCCGTAACCAAACAGCTGAAATAGATGTAGAAGATGTAATTGAGGAAACATAATTTTGCCAGCTATTTGTTTTGTTGTTTCTAATTGTACGGCGAAGATGGGCAGATGCTCTTTTAAAGGAAATAAGGGCTGATAGCTGGTGAGGGGTGCCTCGTTTGTAGCGATAGCCGTTCCAGGCTGCTCGTTTTAAGCAAAGCGCTTTGGTGCAATCAGAATTCCACCATGGAAGACATTTAGAGGTATAAGGTCTTGAAGTTCGAGAAATGGCTGTATAGGCAGCTCTTAGGACCGTAGTTGTAAAACATTGTAGCATAGCTGAAATGGGCGGTAAGGGGGGTGAAGGGATAGGTATAGTAGAGAGAAGTGAAAGTATGCCAATCAGCTCTATCAAAGCACCAGCGTGGATGATTAGGAAGTGGTACATATGAAGTAGGAGAAAGGAGTACTGGGGAGTGGTCACAATAGGGGAAGTGGTCTAGAACTGACCAATTTAAATCTAAATGTAGAGTAAGAGAGCATCGAGAGAGGTCAAGGCATGAAAAGGATTGTGTGCGCATGTCAAAATGTGTGAGGGGATCTGAATTAAGAATAATTAGGTTATTTGTGAAGAGGAAGCGTTCTAGAGATCGGCCTCGGGAGTTGGTGGTAGAGTCACCCCACAGAGTGTGGCGGCAGTTGAAATCACCAACTACGAGGAAAGGTGGTTGGAGTTGGGAAATTAGAGTTTCAAAGGCAGTAAAGTCAATGGGATGGGATGGGGAGAAGTAGACTGAAATCACTGTGATCCAGCGGCGAAGAAAGATGCGAATAGCTGTGCACGGGACAGTAGTTTGTATGGGAGGTATGACATAAGGTGTTTTATGATGGATAAGTATAGACGAGACATACAGGGAGTGTGGGAAAGAGATAAAGTGGTAATTGGGAATTAGAATAGGAGGGTATGTGAGGAAAGTCTCTTGGAGGCAGATAATAGATGGATTAAAAGAAGCAAGGATATGACGTAGGTCTGGTCTATGAGAACGGAAACCGCGAATATTCCAATGTAGGAGAGCTATAGCTTATAAGTGATATCGCATACGGTACGTATTGGGGAATCTGGGGGAGAAGGAGCTAGGGGGTGTGAAGGAGGGTATTAGGAGGTAGGGAATTTGGGGAAGGGCATTGTTGTGACATGAGTGATTCTCGTGTGTATCCAGGAGGGAGTGCAAAGGATAGAGGGGATGGAGGGAGGGAGAATGTGCGTATAGTTGGGGTTGAAGGGGGTGAGTTGTGTTGGGAGGGAGTAGATGTGGGGGGTGTATTAGTGGTAGGAGGATGGATATCGGAAGGATGGATAGTTGGAGTTGAAGGGGATGTGTTGTCTTGGGAGGGATTAGGAGGAAAGGGTGTCGGGGTGCTGTGAGTAAGAGGGGAATGGATATCAGGAGGATGGGTATTGGGAGGATGGATATCGGAGGTGGACAGAATTGAGGGGGTTAGGTTGTGTTGAGAGGGAGTAGGAGGAACCACTTCAAGTGTGGAAGGAGCATGAGTTATGGGATCTTGTGTCTTAAGCATATAACTTTGGATGTCATCCATTGTTTCTGCAGTGGAGTTGGTTGCAGAGTTTTGTGGGATAAAGGTTTTCTTATGAGGGGGGGAAGAGGAGACTGGTGTCTCGGGAATAAAGGTAAAGGTAGGTGGAGGTGATTGTGCTGTAGGGGAAGAAGGGTTAGAACGTTTAGTCTGTCTACTGCGGGTAGTGTGGGGAGGGAGGGGTGGTGTTGGGGCTGTAGTTGAGATTAGAGCTGTGGTTGAGATTGGGGTGTCTGGGTTTAGAGTGGCAAAAAATTGGTCTGAGGGATGTAGAATGTAGAAGTGGTTGGGGCTGTAGTTGAGATTGGAGCTGTGGTTGAGATTGGGGTGTTTGGGTTTAGAGTGGCAAAGGAATTGGTCTGAGGGAGGCAGAATGTAAAAGTGGAAATGGGGACATCTTGGGGTGGAGGGGGAGGGGATGAGCGAACGATGTTACTTGAGTATGGAGTATGAGGGAAACCTTGTCGACGTGCTTCCTGTCTGGCTTCATGTAAAGTGAGACCATTTTTGTATCTGAGAGTTGCTATCTCAGATTCAAACTTGTAAGTGGGACAGCCTCTATAAAATACATTATGGGGGCCGCCGCAGTTAGCACATGTTCGTGTTTGTGCTGAGCAGTTTGATCGGTTATGACCAGGTTGGGCACATATGGGGCATCGGTCTGTGGAACGGCAATGTTTGGCAGGATGTCCAAAGCGCCAACAGTTTTGACATTGACGGGGAGGGGGTTGGTATGGTCGAACAGGGAGGGATTGTCCACCGATGTAGATACGTAAGGGAAGGTCATGTGCACAGAAAGTAATTTGGGCAGTGTTGGTCGGATTCTTTCGTTGACCTCTTGGAGGAATGGTGTAGCAATGTACTGATTTCACGTCTTGGTCTTTGAGGCATCCTAATAAGTCTTCTCCAGTCTGACCAATCTTTGGTATCGACTGGGCCGTTTGCTGGGGAGAGACAGTTCCGGTACAGGTATTAAGGGTTGGATGAGGTTCTGCAGAAATGGGGTTGCCAGAATGATCAGTTAAATTTGATAGTGCTATAGATTCAGTTTCTGATCTGATTGTTACAAGACGGAGCGATAGTGTCTGGTGTAGAAAGGGACTCTGCCTACTTGTTTTTGGAGGCATTGTTGAAAGAGCTAGTTGAATGAAAGGGCAAGATTTAATGCCCCTAATAAGGGTCCTAATAAGGGGAAATAATCTTCATTATTAGCCATGGGAAGCTTGAAATAAGTGGGGAAAGGAAACAGTCTACCACTCTGGGTCCCCATAGGGCTAGGCTATTAACCAAAGGAATACCGGAGGCAGTCCATGACTGACAAAAAGCCAGCCTTTCATCCTTTCAGCATGGCTTGCACACCTTAGCAGGTGGACAGAAGGGAATGAAGAAGAGAAAGAAAAGGAAAGGGGGAGAAGAAAAGACCATGCAAAATTAGTTTAGATAAAGTTGGAGGTCCAAAGTAGGGATGATCCCCTATATTGGGCCTCAGTCACTGTCTCGTAAGACCCCTATGACAATAATGAGCAAGGGATGGGGGAGGGGGTGGGGGATGAATCCTTATTTAAATATTCCTTACATCTTTAGGACCATGTTCCCATAAACATAATAGGATAAAAAATCAGGATAAAAGAAACACATCTGTGCTTTCAGCAATCTGTATAATTGTCTCTAATCTCGTTATATATACATAACAATAATCTCTGATAAACAATCCACTGGAGTTGCACTACTATGGGTTAGCTTTCTAGAAGTTTGTGATAACAACATATAAGACTGAACATAGATTTAATTTCTAAGAGCCGGGTATTAATTCTGAAATATGGACACAATAAATTTCAAGGAAGTCTTGCAAGTAAAATAGCTAGTTACTGGAAACTTTCTATGCTTTAATTTCCCAGACAATATTTGAACTCTTACCTGTTGAGAAAGTTTACAAACATCTAGCCATTACGCATTAACTGGGTAAAACTACTTCCTTAAAAAAAATCTGCACAGGCAGCTTCACATCATGCATGAAATAAAATCTAAACACTTCTCTGACAAAACTACAAAATTTAGCTTTACAGTTCTGACAGCTAAAATATGAGTGATGAAATCAAGCAATACGAGCCTACAAGAGGTATAGAAGGCTCAATTTTGTGTGTTCTATATATATATATAAAAAAAAGAAGCCATACCGTATCCTCTACAAAAGTGGATCGCATTTAATGATCTCATCACATTATGTTCTTGGTTTGTACTGTCACCATGGAGAAGCTGAGAATGATGATGAGATATGAAAGGTGTGCTACCTAGCAAATACAACCCTTAAATAGAAGCAGCTCCTGCGAATAACAGACAGCAGGCTAAACCTCTCTTAGCTTTTGTGTCAAGCTCAGTGAAATATATCATTAATGGGACAGAAAACTACAGAAAAGATTAGAAGAGTTTAATAGTTGACTTCTCTATGATAAAATGATTGACATAAAATGGGCTTACTAACATGACTAAACTCTTTAAAGCAATAATCACAAATGTAAAGAAATAATACTAAACTATACATATGTACACATATGGGATATAAGAATTATTGCTATGTCAAACTGAATAATACAGAAAAGATGCATATGTAAGATTCTGATGCAACTAACTGGACGGAAAGGAACAACGGAAATTGGGGCGGGAATCCATAAACAATTATGTAGAACAGCGCCTTTGACAAATGATCAATTATTATACCAAAAAAATTATTCCCTTGAAAGAGGATATTGAGAAGAAAGTGAGAGCCTTGTATTTGTTATTTGTGCTCAAAGATAGGACACATAAATGCATCATTCCAACTTGTTTTTGTATTTTTTTTTCATCTATAACAAACCACTGAATGCAAGGATATAATAAAAGCAAATACTGATTAATATTCACAACCAAATAAATAGGGAGGAAGAACTCTCTTATTGATTGGTTTTAATTAAATGGCTCATGTGCAGAAATATGATTAGTTAGACTGAGGAAAGACTAGTGTGGCCTCAAGTGCTATGACGGGGTAAAAACTTAGCTTAGAGCAAGTTCAACACAACTAACCCCTCAAACCAAAATTTCTCAACTAAGATGAGTTTGGTTCAACTACTGACATTTTTGAATGCAATAAAAATCAAACAAACAAAAGCAATGTTATGGAAAATATGATGAAAGTAAGTGTAAATATGACAAAAGAATTACATTGACTAATATATTGAAACAATTCATAATTAATAAATATAATGATCTAAAAAAAATATATAGCATAAAATTGATAATAAAAACAATAACAACAGTAATAAATAACCAAACCATTTCTGGACTAATTGCATCTCATGGATTCCTTTCAATCTATCATACTGCAAGTCTTCTTTGAGTGGGGCAGCACTAGGTGACTGTCCCCTGTACGGAACTACATTAGTTGATTACCTCTGCCTATACCTACAAAAGGTAACTGACCCTGCTTAAACCTCCCCTTGGTGACTATCCTTGCCTGGACCTCCACTAGGTGATTGTCCTTGCCTAAATGTCCCCTAAGTGACCATCCTTGCCTGGACCTTCCTTAGGTGACTATATTTTGCCTGGACCTTAACTAGATGGCTGTCCCTGACTGCCCCACCTCAGAAGAAGCAATAGTGCTTATGCCTGTGTAGATGAATCTGAGAGACCTGTATTTGAAATCTCCTACATCAAGCTTTTGGCTGGATGCTATCACCTTAGTATATGCAAATTGGTGTCAGCAGTATCACACCTCACAAGGTGATAATAAAAAAGAAAAGAAAAAAAAAATGATCATGAAAGAAATAGAACACATAAATAACAATAACATATAATATGCACAAAGTCAGTATACAGTACATGTCAGTTTCTATTTTTGGCATTAATATCGTATTTCAACCATCAGGTTGGGCAGCAACTAACATTCCTTTAGTCGTTCATTTGTATCATTTGGTTCCTCTGAATACCCAAAGTTAAGATGAAAGCCCATGACAAAAGCCACATGTTGACACCATACTGGTCTGCCTTGCTGTGAAGAAATAATGCCTTGCTAGTTAGCTCCTTTAACGTTGAGAATATTAACACCACAGTTTACTTGAAATGGGGAGATTCTCACACTTGGTTCCTCTTACATACTCTCTTGAATTCTACAATAGCCGCAACTAACACGATATCTGAAGTTAAAGTCCTTTTAATGTAATGAAAAAAACTAGTTATATAACCATAAAAAGAAAAGAAAAATGCAACTTTGGCACTTGATGTGGTTTACAAGACAATGCATATCATGATCTGTTGCTTGCATACCACCTACTGCAAGCTCTTCTGCCTACATTCAGCACTTTTGGAGATTGCTGAATAGAATATATTACCTTTGCAATTGGGGATGTAACTGATACATATTTCTCATCAAGAAATTTTGGAAACAAAAATATGGAACACAGGAAATGTATTTGACTTACTTTCTTGGATTTCTTTTTATGAAAGTAAAGATATCAAACTGTGGACGCAATCATTATGACATGGAGATAAAAGACATCATGGTGTAACAGTTTATGGCCAAACTAAGGGAGAGGGGGTAGAAGATTCATTGTAGAGCACATGATGGCATGGCTTTGCAGCATCAGCAAAATAATATTAGTTACACTTGCATTAAATAGCCACAATTTCCAGGTCAAGATGCACACTGTATAATTTGCAAAAGATAACATTGCCAGCACAAACATGAGAAATATATGTAAAAAATTATGAACACTGATTTTTTTCCCTTCCTTAGCATGAAAGCAAATTTCAAGTTAGTTTCAAGCATTCAAAGGCCAATCATTGGCAAAATAGAAAAAAAAAAGAGACTACAGTTCCTATCACTGTATAAAAATGGATTATCATTATCAACATTTTTTTTCAAGTTTACTTCTTTATAATGGAAAAGACTTCTCTTTAAGTCCTAGCAGAAGTCATCAACCTTCTATCATCCTGCTTGAGAAGTCACTCCCTGTGGAGCCTTCAGGATAAACAGCAGACCAATGAATGACATCGCTTATATATATAAAGTAAAAAATAAAAGTGACTTTATTGACTATGAATAGCTCATCTCAAAATATATGACAACATCAATACTGTTCTTTCTTCACTGCAAGTGAAATTTATGTAGCAAATTTTCAGTTAAAAAATCACTTTTCAATGTCAAGATTTTAGATTTTACGTGACCCCATGTAGTGGCGAGAAGTCAATATACAGGTATATATCACACATTAAACCAAGATACATTACCTTGAAGTCCTTATGCTTTCAGAAACTGGTTACTCATAATCTCCGTATTATGCACAGGGGCACTGTATTATTTATGAAACAAAACACAAACTCATTTCAATTACAACAGCAAATTGATGTAGTCTAGTATAAATCAATACTTATTTACTTCACTACTTTTTCAGTAAAGTCACTAAGGCCTTGGGTGTAAGTTGTATACTTTTCTGAAGTCATACAATTAGATTTTGCAAATCATCCTACTGTCTTCAGTATATTCAACAATCTTTTTCAATTAACCCCCTTCTGTTCTTTGGTGATTCCGTGCTCCAGGAGTCTTTAATTTGTTATCAGATGAAAAGAAATAATACATAGAGTATAGATATGATAATTGTAATTGTAAAGTAACACATTTTATGTGAGAATCAAGATAATTTTATATAAATTTTAAAATTCACTTTGGCTATATTATGCATCATTATGAGAGGAAACCAAGTTTGATAGAGAAAAGAAAAATAAAATATATATATCAATACACATTTTCAGATATACCACATGCTTTGTAGGTAATATTATCACAGCTTGTAATATTTAACAACCCATCACAATTGGCTCTTAGTAAACATATCAAATAAAGCACGAGAAGTCAACTGGAGTACGGCCTCACCTTTTCTTGCTGCCTAAGAAACATTAGAAGATTTTATTATGGTAAAGAGAGAGGCAGATTTGTGTTACTTCCTCTGGACGAAACAATTTAAATCTTGAGACTACTTTTGTTAGATAAATACTCATTTTCACTTTATCTGCTGAGATATTGAAACTTTTTCTTCTTGATAATGTTCAACAAAAAAACTCCAGTCACTTTGAAGTGTTCTCTTTGGAATATACTGGTTATTGAGAGATCCTTTATGAGTTCCAGATCATTCTTCCTCTGAGTCCCCATCACTGGAGTATCCTTGGCTTGTTATGGGGCGGTGATATGGGGCACATTCCATTTGTCTGCCAGTGAAACAAAGAGGAGAAATCAAGTTAGTTACCAAACCTTTTCTTCTCAAACTATGAAGAGGAGTATCCTCTATCTCACTTTACTTTCTCCTTGAATTAGGACTATGCAAATTGCAATAACTTCTAATCCTTAAATGGGATTGCTTACTATGTAAAAATAAAGAGCCCAGTGTCCAATTACACTGTGTAAAAATATATACAAAAATATAGGACTAGTACAGAACTGCCAACTTTTCAAGGAATCAGAGAGTGAGAAAGCAAAAAATATTTCTCAGTAAATCAATCCTCATATGAGATGAGAACAGATCCAAAACATGTTTATGAAAGCCACTAAAAGTCAAGAAGCAGCTCAAACAAAATTCAAAGAGTTCCTATCATCTCCGAAGAACTTACTGT